ACCTTTTCTCCTCCATTTTCTTTAATTTTCTCAACAACTTCATATTAGGGGTGTCAATTTTTGACCCGACCCAAAAAAATCTAGGTTCGGGTCAACCCGTTTATGAAATGGGTCGGGTTCGAGTTTAGTAAACTGACCCGTTTCAAAAGTCGGGTTGGGTTTGGGTTGACCAGGGAACCCGAAAATGACCCGTAAATGGTCCCTACCCGGCTGCCCGTGTCGACTTCCCAGTTGCCCGACGCATCAAGTCGCGTCCCTGCCCGGCTGCCCAGTTGCCCGACGTGTCAAGTCGCACCTTCGCGGTTCGCGTGCCAGCGCTACAGAGGCGTAGAGCCCGCTTCGGCTTCGCCGCTCGCGTGCCAGCGCCCCGCGCCCGCTTGGGGTTCGACAGTTCGGGTTCAGTCGCGAGTGGTGACGCGTCTCGATTGCCGACTGGTCGCTGGTCGCGGTGCCGCCTGGTCCACCGCGGCGCCGCCGCGCTTGCTGGCGACCGCTTCCATTTTAAATAACCGAGTCGGGTCGTGTCAATCCGGCAACCCGCACGGGTCGGGTCCAGGTTGAGATAGCCGACCCGTTTACAAAAATGGGTCGGGTTCGGGTTGACCAGTCTAGAACCGGGTCAACTCGGGTTCGACCCGAACCCGATCCGTCGACCCGAATTGACACCCCTACTTCATATTATAGTGGCAAAAGAGAAGTAGCAATGGAATAGCTCTGAGTGTAGAGTTCAATGACATGTGGCCGTGGGTTTGAGGTTGGTGGTCTTCTGGAGTTTAGTTTGGGTTAGGTATAATGAATAAGCTTAGTTACATATATAATATTATAATATTATTATGACAATATTCTTTGATGTTAGTATGTTACTTATTATTTCATATTTTTTTATTGATTCAATGATTTAATTCTTAAGCCCGTCTCATGAAAATATGCCTCAATAATCGATTGCACAATTTGAAAGCTCAAATTGTTTAAATAATAAATGTTAGAAATAAAATATGAAAAGGACTACATAACCACATTTTATATGCTTTAGCTATTATAACACTCATGCAAGTAATGATCTATATAAAATTAGATGTTGCACAAGTAGGGGAAATGGTCAACAAAGTCTAATCTAATATAGGGACAAAATATTTTGGAAGTTGGGAATAAAGGTACAATCATATTTCGTTTGGGATGGACGGCTTTTTCAGTTTTAAGAAGCAGTAAAAAAACTATCCCAAAAGAAGCATAAAATATTGTGTGCATTTATACTCTATGTGGGTCTGCAATGATCAGTTGGATGTCACAATTGTGGAAGATGGTTATATTATTAACTATGAAAGTTGAATAGGTTGTTGCCACTGTACCTAATAAAGAGATGTTTTAGCTTAAAAGATCTTGGGAAGAACATGACAAATCACAAGAAAAGATCACACTAATTTTTGAAAGACAAAGTATTGTTCATTTAGCAAAAAAATTTTGAGTTTCAAGTACCACTACGTGCACTTTTTTTCCTGAAAGAAATGTGATATATCTCACTAAGATTAGGAGAGGGAAAAACACCACCAATATGCTCACAAAAATTGTACCAATATTGTAGCTATAGTTTTACAAAACTTAAATTAGCTTCTAAGAAAAGTGATTTGGAGATGACATGCAAGGATTTAGAAACTGATGATTAAACAGGTGCATAAAAATTTTCTATCTCCAAGAGAGATTGCTAAATTATAACAAGAAGAACAACAACAAGCCTTTATCCCATTATATAGGGTCGGCTGATAAATCAGCAATCACGCAGCAGTTTTCACAAAATTTGGAGAGAAATCACCAAGGGAAACACTTAGAATTGACTAGGAAAAGAAAAGAAACAACCGATACAATTTTTTTTTTTAAATAATCGATACAATGAATCTTGGAAGATTCCACTCTTCAAATCCCTAGCCAAAGCCTATAGCCCAAAACCAAACACAAGATCTCAAATTAAAATTACAAAATTCAAGATGAAAACCTAACCCTAGCAAGAAGAAGATAATTTAAAGCAAAGGACAATTAAGTGATTCCTAAACAACCCCTGATTTGAATTTCCCTCCTAAACCAAGCCTTCATTAAGTCGTGGGCCCCATCCATGCTTTCGCCCCAGCCTGGTCTCTTCCTAAACCAAGCCTTCATTAAGTCGTGGGTCCCATCCATGCTTCCGCCCCAACTTGGTCTCTCTCTCTCCACCCTCCCGGCCTCTTTGTCCGGCGCTTGTACATTTGAACCGGTCCAAGAGGGACCGGTTTAGCTGGCCCTTCGGTAGGTCTAACATCGGCTACATGAATCCTTTTCTCCATTGTGTCATGTTAAAAGTTAAATTCTAGAAATATGAAGTTAAAATTACCTCACATCAAATCTTTATAAGATATGATTCAGATATCCTATTTATTGCAAATATTAAATTAATAGTTATAAATGTAAAGTTAAATCTTTTTGGTGTTATGTAAGACCTTTTGTTAACATTGAGAGAATTTAAAAAATTTTACTTGATCATATAATTAATTCTATACCTCCAAACACTTCTTATTATCAAAATAAATAGCCTAATAATGAGGGATTTGATATCCCATAGAAGCAAGAAAAAAAAAAAAAAGGAGCAGGGAATATTGGGCTCTCTATATCAGTATAGAGAGAGTGGGGCTTGGGCGACAATATAACAACATGAGTCGGATGTGTCCTACCTGTTAGCAACAAACTTCGTCATTGGCCTCCTATTTAATCACTCCAATCTTTGTCTCCTATAGCAAAGATTGTGAACCCTCATTATTTAGTATCTATTGCAACTGGTGTAAATTATACTCTTTTTTAAGTATAATTTGTCATTGTATTTTCATAAACTGACAATGAAGAAAAACTTTGTATGCGCCATTTTTAAAATTTAGTGAAATTATTTGATCTTTGTGTGAATATGGACATAGGTGAATTTTCGGTGAATTTTCATATTATACACAATTATAAGAGAACTTATAAGTGAAACTTTCAAACAAGGAGCGGAACACCCTAGAGCTCTGGGGGTGCAATTGCCCCACCCCAAAAAAAAAAAAATTTTATTATATAACTCTTTAGATAATCTGTCCCCCTTAATTCATTTTTGAGTTTTTATTACAAGAGTTTTTAGGTAATTGTCCCCCCTAAAAATTTAAAAATGTTATAGTCTTTAATTAGGCAATTGCCCCCAACATAATTAAACACATTATATAGAGGTATTATTGTTAGGGAACAATGAACCAAATACAAAGAAAAATACTAAATCAAAATTTGTTTCGGGGGCTCTGCCTCTGTAAACCCCCGCAGCTCGATCCCCCCCATCAAGGAGCGCAACCCCCTTGGACCCTCAACAAAGCTGCCAATAGTTATTTATAAATTGCACCCCCCCACGTGAAAATTATGGCTGATTCCGCCCCTGTTTCAAACTATGCACAAGTACATAAAACAATTTATCTCCTTCATCCCAAACTAGCTACAAGACAATCCTTCAAAGAACATAAAGATTATTCCAAAAAAAAAAAAACTTGCTAGATGACAATAACTTTATACATTGGAAGACATAAGAAGAAAGTTCAGCATCACAATTACTTCAAACATGTTCAAGATCCAACATAGCACGTGAAGATCATTAATATGTTAGGAGAGGTAAGCAGGAGGAGCACATCATCTCCATTAATATTCAGCTAGAAGAAATATAAATGATATACACTTACTTTATTTTATGTGATTTGCACGAGATTCAAGATCATGCTGCTACTCCACCGCTTGCAATGACTACATTAACATCCTTTAGAAGAACAAAGTTTGGTCCCCAAATTAATTTCCTGCAGAAGACCGTTGCCATTACTGTGAGATATAAATGCCAATTTCAAAAGCAATGACCAACTTCTTTTTCTTCATAAACAGTACTTCTTTTAATGGAAAACATAAATAGTACTTTATTAATACAAAATTATATAGACATAGATATATATAGAGAGATAAACTTCTTCGTCTCTTCATCTATTGATTGGGAGCTTTGAATCCTACATCGCTTGAATGCAGGCAAAACTCTCAACCAACTTGCCTAAAAGCGGGACTGCAGTGGAAGCTGTGTAGCGACAGCTTGAATAAGTACTTCCCTTCAATAGAATAATAAATGAATGGCTTAAATTATTAACAGTACTTAACAGTTTTGTAGGTGTATCTATGATCAAAAGTTATAAGATGTTCCTATAATTTGGGATCAAAATAAGGATGGTTCTAGGGGGTAAGGGGTAGAACATGTTCCTCAAAAATTTTAAGATGTATCTACATATTATATATTTTTATTTGTGTAAATGTAATTATAAATTATTTAATTTATTCTCCCCCAAAAATTTTAAGATTTATGATTATGAATACCAGTTGAAATATATTAATAATATTTAAAAATAATTAATTTATGCTAATGCTAAAAAAATAATTAATTTATGTTGGATTTTATATACTTTTGTAAGTGGGTGGATAGGTAGTTTTATACATCATGAGATGCATTTTTGAGTTATACTATTTCTAATTTTCCCAAAAAAAAAAAAACCATTTCTAAGAAGGAGAAATTTCGGGATGGGTTATCGTAATCTAAATTTTATTAGGATGAGTTACAGCCATCAAATTTAATTTGAGGAGACTATAATATTACATATCTATTCAGTCAAATTTTTTATTACACTAATCTCCTTATCAAATTTATGTTTTTCATATGATCCTATGAATATGAACACTGAAATTAGAATCTACAGCAATAAGAGTGTTTTATGCGATTGATCAAGTAAGGAGGCTTAAATCATCTTCATGTTTAGCACGAATCTTGGAGTACGAAGATTGAATGATTATGATGTTGGTTAAGTACCAATCTCAAAGCAATAGAAATTGAATGTGCACTAATGTATCATCACTATACCAACGGTCTCCAAACTTTGGCATGTGAATTGTTTTAATTATTGCTAGCTGTGGTATCGTACACAAAGAAAAGGAGGCCCAAACCGTCAACTTAAGCAACCTCACTCTCCAACCTCCCACTCCTCATTCCTTCTCAACCATGAAACTCACGCTCCTCTCCTTCTTTGTGATTTCATTCATCCACTTCTCACACTCCATCCCCGAAAAATTTACCTCCATTTTCAGTTTCGGTGACTCCCTCACCGACACCGGTAACTTTCTTCTCTCTGGAGCCCTCACCTTTCCATCCATCAGTCAACTCCCTTATGGCATGACCTACTTCCACCGGCCCACTGGTCGTTGCTCCGACGGACGCCTTGTTGTAGACTTTATCGGTAACATTTTAGCATATATATCTCTGAGCTTTGAAGCTTGATAAAGGTTTTGAATGCTGACTTGATTCTTTCATTATGATATTTTAGAAGAGAATAAATAGAAGCTGAGTAGCAGGTTGTAAAAGGGTTGTTTCTTATTTTAAAATGTGAGTAAATAAATATATAGGAGACTAAAATAGAAACCAAACTAATAAGAATAAGTATGTGTTTATTCCTTTACAAAACATTTATCATATTCAAACAATGAAACATTTTGTTATTTTACTAAGGCTTAATTTAGTACAAACTAGATTTAGGTTATATTTTGTTGTGTTGTATATAAAGTAAAAAAAAATATCATGTTTTCATGTAGAAATATAAATTACTTCTAAGTCAGAATATATGCTCATGCAATTATAAAAAGGAACACAACATATGTGCTCAATAGCAATTTTATGAACATATTTTTATATAAATAAAAGTATTTTTTTTTTAGAAATTCAACAGAGGAATACGAAATCAAATGAAGCCTAACACATGCGTCTTCTCTACAAAGTAAACAACAATATTAAACAATCAAAACACTCACTTGTTAGCTGCATTGCAATGCAGCTGAGTCCCAAGGTCTTCCATTTCTCCCGCCATACTTGGCTTCGAATCAAACATTCCGACAAGGAGTGAATTTTGCCGTTGCCGGTGCCACGGCAATGAACCCTGAAGTTCTTCATGACATGGGCATCAGTCGTTACATCTGGACCAACTACTCCTTGTCCACCCAACTCCGGTGGTTCGACGAGCTGAAACCATCTCTTTGCAAAACCACCCAAGGTGACATTTTGATCACTCCCTCAAATTAAAAAACTCGAATTTCCAAACCCAACTAATGGCTCTTCACCTATTCACAGAATGTAGTGAATACTTCAAGAAATCCCTCTTCCTCGTCGGCGAAATCGGCGGCAACGACTACAACTACGCTTTCTTTTCCGGCAAGACTGCAGCTGAAGTTACTTCCATTGTGCCCAAAGTCGTGCAGGCTATTGCAGAAGCCATTCAAGTGAGCAAAAGGTTTGAATTTCATAACTTTTTTCTTTGGGCCATAAAGTCGAACATGTTGTGGGCACTGTGCAGGTGTTGGTGAAAAGAGGGGCAACGAACCTGCTGGTGCCGGGGAACTTACCGGTGGGGTGTTCGTCGGCGTACCTTACGCTGTTTGCAACGGAGGAGAAGGAGGAGTATGATGTCCGGAATGGGTGTTTGAAGAAGCTGAACGCCTTCGCAAGGTATCATAATGAGCTGCTACAATTGGCAATGGAGGAGCTGAGGAAAAAGTACCCGAAAACAAGGATTATATATGCGGATTACTACACTGCGGCTATGCGATTCGCGCATGCTCCAGGCCATTTTGGTGAGTGATTTTTGTTTTGACAGGAATACTTAACGGATATAAACATATAAATTACTTGGAAAAATATTTAAGAATATTTAATGAAAAATTAAACAAAAATATAGCTAACAGCATTGATTTTTTTTTTTTTTAAATAACACTTAGCTTACCCTAATTTTTGGCCCACCATTTATTGAATTTATGTTAAAATATATGCTAAATATTTTAAATTATTTCTCAGGTTAAACTTGAGCTTGCTAAACGAGCTCGAGTAATCGAGCCAAATCCAAGCTCAGTAGGCGAGCTCGAGTTCTAGATCAATAAGAATTAAATAGATAACTTGATTTAACTCGGTTCATTTACATCTCTATTGTCAAATATCTATAATCAAATTAATGGACTAAAAATAAGTAAAAAAAATGAACTAATTAAAATTAAGTGGTCAATTAGTATTTCATTATTTGTTTTTTACACTTCTTTGTCATACTATTCTAAATAGCTAAATGGAACTCATTATTTATTTTTGAAATTTCATTTGAGAATATAATATTGACTTAAATTTGATTCAATAAATTTCTTAATCATTAAATTTATTTTAAATCAATATAATAGATAATTAATCCATCAATTATTATATTACAATTCATCTCTAGAAAAATTAATGATTTAATAGTTTACTCTAATTAAATGTAAATAATGATCATATTACCAAAAAATATATATATTTTTTAAATATATCAAAAAATTGGAAACTCTTTAAATCATTTCAAGTGAAACAAATGCTAGAATAGTACTAAGTGAAATAAATTTGAATAGTTAATTAAGGAAAATATTCTAGATAATATGTATTTACATTTATTGTTTTGACTCAATATAAGATATATGTTTCTTATGGTTAATTTATGATAACTTTCTCGCTATTTTATTTTTCAGTCAGTAGTCTCATTCTGATTTGATTATTATTTTATAAAATATTTCAAGTTGTTAATTGTAATTAGATTTGTAGATTGTTTGGAATGGATAGATGTTTTATAAAGTTGATTGGAAAGTTAGTTCTCTTAGCAACTCTAGTTGCAAAAAACAACTTTCTTCTAAAAAAGCAATGAAAAAGCAGCAAGAAATCAGTAGCGAAATAAAATTATAGTTATTGTTTAAAAGAAAAGAAGCAAGAAATTGTACAGAAATGACCCTTATGTAGGGGTGACAATTTCAGCTCATGGGTCGGGTTCGAGTCGAACCCGAAACTAACTCGACACTATTCGGGTCAACCCAAACTCGACCCGTTTTTGCAAACGTGTTAGTTTTTTGCAATTGTCCCGATTCAGGCTCAGGTTAACCCAACACCACCCGAATGACCCGGGGCCGACCAAAAAAATCTAGTTTTTGGGTCAAAAAATATATCAATCTCTGATTTTCGGGTCAAAACAGGTCAATCTTGGGCTCCGAGTCAAAAATGAGTTTTCCAGTAAAAACTGGGCCAAAACGAGTCAATATCGTGTTTCTGGATCAACTCAAACCCGATCCTTTTCGGGTTTGGGTTGACCCTAACCCGAAATTTTTATGTTAGATTCGTATCGTATTTTCCGGTCGTATCAATTATTTCCCTTATGATAGCATAGTAGCTACAATAAATCTATCATACATATTTTTAAAATATTTATAATATTTACAGTAGCTTTTTTTAAAAAAAATATTCTACTCATACAAGCTCTACAATCATCTTTACAAAAAACTACAGCCTCAAATAACATACCCCTAATAGCAATTCAAATCATAGCATATCATGAATTAATGAAATTTCTCCCTTCTCCAATATTGTGTTGCCATATCTATATGCTACATGCACGAATTTTAATGATGAAAAATATTTATATAAATAATTTATGAAGGTTTTGGTCGTGGGGCCCTACAAACATGTTGTGGAGGTGGGGGCCCATACAATTTCAACGTAACGGCTCGTTGCGGTCATCCGGGATCACATGCATGCGTGGACCCTTCAGATTACGTGAGCTGGGATGGCATTCACCTCACTGAAGCTGCTTATCACCATATCGCAGATGGTTTGCTGAAAGGCTCTTTCACTGATCTCCCTCTTATGATCTGATTATCATTTAATTTAAATGTTTCTCTTAGTAAGTACTATATATATTTTGGAGATAATGAGGAAATAAATAATTAATAAAATTTACTTGTTTTGATGGAATATTTCTATGTGTTTGTTTTTGTGTGGACACGTGTCTTTTTTTTTTGTTTAGGGGTGTTAAAAGTATTTTAATTAATTAATTTGATGGTGTGTGTCATTTAGGTTTTGTTTGAGACGGTTTTCTTACTGTTTTTTAAAGCAGCTTTCTAATATAAAAATTTTATTTTTGTATTAGAAAGCTACTTTAAGAAGCTGTAAGAAAAAAAAAGCGGTAAAAAAGCCGTCCCAAAATAAGCATTAATGATGATAATTAAATTAATATATTACGAGAAATGCTTAATTCATAATAAAAACTTACCTTAAAAAATCATAACTATTCTAATTAGATTAGTAGCTTAACCTCTTTGAATTATTTCAGTCATGGAATCTTCTAGTATCTAAGGGATGTCATTTATATTTAATAATTTTGATAATTTTCTTGTCATGACTCGTTTGATCTCTTCTATTTTAAGAGTGGTGATAAGTACGTAAGTTATTATTGCAAATAAAGGTCTAAATTTTCTTGGTGAATCAAATGCTTAATCTTTTTCATCAAGTGAGAACACTACAGGAAAAACTCCAAAAACCAGCGATTTTTTCCGGCGGTTAGCATGGCTAAACCGGCAGTTTTTTTTATCACCGGCGGTTTCTCGGCGTCATTAAGGCCGCCGATAAAAATAGCGTAGGAAACCCTTACCAGTGGCCTTTTACCAGCGGTTTTTTTAGCCGACGGTTTTCCGGCGGTATACACCGCCGATGATGACCGGATTTGTAACCGGCGGCGTTCCGGCCATCACGCCGTCGGTTAATTTACCGACGGCTAACCGGCAGTCACCTTACCGACGGTCTGTCGTTACGAAACCCCCGGGTAGGCCACCGGTATTAGACGGTGGTCACACCGCCGGTAGTACCGACGGTTAAAGAACCGCCGGTCATAACCGTCGGTAAACGATGTTTTTCCTGTAGTCAAATTTTTCTATTGAATATTCATTTGAACAGTTGAAGTTATTATATTAAGATGGTTCTTCATCATTTGGGTTCTTTAGAGGTTTTGGGCATTTGACATGTTCAAAATTTGGATCTCCATCAGTATGGTAGCCCTAAATGTATTTAATAGGTTGTGATTAGATAATTCAGAATGGATTTAATAAGAGGATCATTTATGGGGGTTTTACTACTACTTTTTTGTTAAAAAAATTAACTAATTTCTTTTGATGAATCATTATATTCCCTAGAAGATTGTTAAAATTACTATTGATCAAAATTGATGGCCTTATAAATTATTTTATCCTTCTACTCAATGAATAAGATCAAAATAAAAATAAACTCTCTTTTACATTAATGAGAAGTAGGTAATAGCTTCTTAAAGCATCTTTCTAAGAAAAATGAGGAGCAGCGAAGTCTTGAGCAGACACATAAAAAAAAAAAAAAACTCGTAGTATATTCTAAATCCACTCCTAGGATTTGGTATGTTTTAATAAAAAAATGAAAGTACTCGTTAAGTATATCTCACTCATTTGACAAATCCTAAAAAAATAGCATAAGTTTTTATGATTCTCTTATTAATAATGAATTATTCAACAAAAAATTTAATTAGATTGACAAAATTATGAATACTTCTACCCGAATGATAGTAAAATCATGTGTGAGTTTGTCCCTTAAGGGTTATGACAAAGATGAGCTAGACAAAAGACTGCATTAGAACTGAGCTAAATGTGAATGATCATCTTATAGTTGTCAATGTGCTCATAAGAGTTAGAAGTCTCATCATATGGATCAATTGCAGGCAACTTAAATAGTATTGGAGTAAAATGATAAAGAATCGCATCAGTTAAGAGTGAAGATTCTTGGAAGTTACTGGGAGGAATAAATTAGTTCTTTTCTCTCTAAAAAAAATCTCTTGAATAAGATGTCATGGCTCATCATGGCTCATCTCTTGCAAAATCAAAAGAGGTGTAAATAAAATAATGTTGATGTAAGTCCTCTACTCTTGGCAGAAGATTATGTGTTGACTGAACAATATCGAAAATATGGGTTGTACTTGTAGTGTCTGACAGACCATGATGAGACTGAGGTGAAGAGGGAGCAACAACACAAGGAGGAGTTACCTAAATAGAATCAAATGGATTAACTCCTAAATTATTTTTAATTTTATGGTGGGAGGAGTTTATCATATTATGATGGTGTCCTCCTCAAAGAGTTGCAAGATTTTAAATTTAAAGTTCTTCCATCATATGCAACAACTTAATATAATTCATAGAATGATATAGATTAAGCTCATTGCAGTTAGTTATATAGCAAGCAAATTCACTTGATGAGAAAGAAGTGCCTACAAGCATACGAATCATATTTTGTGGATGAGACCCCTCAATGAGAATCATATTATGTGAATTTAAAAATATTTATATATTTATAAGCATAATTTAAAAATATTTATAAATGTATGAGCATAAAATTATAAATTTATAATAAAAATTTTATGAGAAGGAAAATCAATCTCATTGAACATTTCTTGCTCATCATCCTGATGAATTTCAAAATTATAAATTATAATTTATGCTGCCAATTTCATTAAATAATTCAATATAGTACTCCCAATTTGGACCAAGATTAAATTAATAAAGAGAAGTGGATATTATAATCCCCATTGAAATCATTATCTAACAAAACTGAGATTCCTTACTTCTATATGTAAACCTCATTATAAATTTTCTTTAGCTAGGATTTCTTTTTCTACATGTAAAGTACTAAGTTTATAAAAAATGGCAACTCATTTTGATCTGTTGGTTGAGAGTTTTGGCAACAACAACAACCCATTGATAGTCATTGTAAACTTCATTATAGACATTTTTTAACTGAGATTCCATTTTTCCACATGTAAAGTACTAAGTTTATAAAATAAGGGTGTCTCATTTTGATCTGTTGGTTGGGACATTTGACAACAACAAAGTGTCATGATCCAGTCCCCATAACAATAGGAGTATTGCTCGTTGTAGCACCAACATTTCATCCTTAGTTGAATGGAGAGATGTCAAGGTAAGATCCTTCATCTTCTTCATGAATTTAATCAAACAAGGGCCATCATGTCCAAATACTATCAACTTGAGATTGTCCACATAGTTGTCTCCAACCACCATGTTGAGGTTTATCCTCTTCCTTTGCCACTCAATGATTACCTTCACAATATATCATGCCTAACTCCAATCATCCAACTAGTCAAGTCTATAAGATTATAACCCGTTGATATTCATTGTGAATCTATTTTGATCTCTAATTCATAGCCTCCTTTGTGATGCCCTTCATGATGAACAACAACTTATAGTCCGAGTTTTTCGTGGGATAGATTCCAACTTACCACTTATCAAAACTTGAAAGAGTCATCTCCCTTCGTCTAGATTATTTATCCATATCTAATTCTGATGAGATTCACTTTTTTTTTTTTTAAATGGAACAATACAGTGATTCCTACAACCCTTATGAACACATGGATTAATTTAGGATAATTATTCATAGTCAATAGGATTAATATTTTAATGGCCAAACTTAATCTATTTTTTGGATTAATCTTCTTTGTTTCACATGATCAGTATGAAAAATTCTTACACAAAACATGTAATTATTAAGAAACATAAGAGTTTTGGGTTTAATCTCATATGAACCAATTAAAAATCACATAAACATTAAAAAATTAACAATGATTATCATTTTTAAGCTTAAAAATTTTGACTTAATGAGTGAGTGATGATTAGTACAACTTCTTTTTATACAAAACATATAATTATTAAAAAACATAATAGTTTTAGGTGTAATCTCATATCAAAAAGTTAAAAAAACAATAATGATTCTCATTATATCTGACCAAATTTTAATAATTAGATTCTTATTATGATTGGGCTTTCATAAGAAATAAGTAAATGAAGGTGATCATCTTTGATGTGGGTGAACCCTAACAACTGATCTTCCCCACCATGTGCTTGTATTGTACCATTCCATAAGCTATGGGGGCATGTTGTAATTGCCTACAAGCAATTAACTAAAAGAATGATTTTATAGTACCATTCTATAATGAGAGGAGAAGTTGACTTGGCCTAGTTCTTAATTCCCCACCATATCCTCTTTTTATTTAACCATATTTCTCTTTCTTTTTTTCCGCAAAAGAAAATTGCCTTGAGGGTCTATTTGGGACAACTTTCTTACCCAATTTTATTTTATTACTATTTTCTCGTTGCTTTAAAAAAAATCATCTTATGAAGCTTTTTTTTTAGAATAACTTTTAAAAAATTTATTTTTCCAATAATAGTTTTACAACTATGAGTCTGCTTGGGAAGGCTGCAATTTTTTGTAAAAGTAGTTGTAAAGTTGTTGTAGAGAAAACATCATTTTCTAAAATTACTATAGAAACACAGCTCATCTTGGTCTGTTGGTTGGCTACCAACTAAGAAGTCTTGGGTTCGAGTCTTGTGTATGTGATGTGTGTGTGAGTCTGCCTTAATTGGCCTAAATGTCCCAAAAAAATTGCAATATAAAGTATCTTTCAGATACAAAATATTCTTAGTGGTGAAAAAATAATTAAAAAATAGAAACTATGGTTGTCGCCTGAAAAGCAAAGTAATGAAAAATTTATATCCCAAATGAAGCCTATATTTATAAAAAGTTGCAATCATCTCAAACAGATCATAGGCAAACTGAGATTTCTTGTTCACATGTAAATTATCTTGTGGGTCTACACACTCTCATTACAAAAAAAATATATATATATTGAAATGATTAATAGAGATCACACCTATTTATTAAATCAAAAAATATATAAAATAAAAAAATTAATATATACTGTAATTTGAGGCACGAATCAAATCAAATGTTTCAAAAAAATAAAAAATTAATGCTGCAACTGCCGGCCTATCCTTCTCAAATTCATAAATAATTGTGAAGATTGACTTTGAGACTTTTTTATTTAGTTTGGAGAGAGGCTGAAGCTTCATTTCCACTATAAAAGAAAGCACTTATGAACAAGATTATGTCAGTTGCTTGACATAATCTTGTGAAAAAAAATTTCATCTCAGCCATGAAGCTCACACTCCTCTCCTTCTTCATCATCTCATTCTTCCACTTTTCCCACTCCTCACCACAAAAATTCACCTCCATTTTCAGCTTCGGCAACTCCCTCGCCGACACAGGCAACTTTCTCATCTCAGGCGCCGTCGCCTTCCCCTACGTCGGTCATCTCCCTTATGGCATTACCTACTTCCACCACCCCACCGGCCGTTTCTCCGACGGCCGTCTTGTCGTAGACTTCATTGGTAACATTTTAACATATCATTATACCAATTAAATCAAGAACTTTCAATTGGAACTAAATGAATTCTTCAAATTTGTTTTTCTTATCGTCGTATCTGGATTGAGATTTAGATCAATGCTTTATTCATATATGCAGTAAAAGAACATATCTAATTTAGCTATTTCATGTCACACTTATCTCAATAATCGATTGCAAATCATATCGCAAAAGAATAAACAGTTGCTGTTGTGATAACCCACCGAGGATTAGGCGTGGTTGGTGGGCGAGCACGGTTGGGAATCCCCATTTTGGGTTTGAATCCCCTCAACTACGATCTCTCCTCTTCAGCAGAGTAAAGCAAGTGTGGGTCCGATGCCGATGGGTGGCCTCGTTAGGTTTCGCTGAGGGATTAGCTAAGCCGCCAAGTGCTCCCTATAGAGTGGCAGCAAGTAGATACCCCTAAAAAAGAAAGCTATTGTTGTGATACTTATTGGAATCTTTCATTGTGATATTTCAAAAGAGAATAAGTAAAATCTGAGTGGAAGATTATGAAAGGGAGGCTTCCCATTTTTAAATGTGTGGGAAATCAAATAAATACGTAGGAGAATTAAATAGAAAATTAAGATTTCATTTGGGAATTTTTTTTTTACTATTTTTTAAAGCAATTTTTTAATACAAATTTTTTCTTAAACTAATAATTTTGTACTAAAATATTATTTTAGAAAACAGTAAGAAAATTGTCTCAAATAAAATCTAACTTATTAGAATAATTATGTATCTATCCCTCTACAAACATTTTATCACATACATTTTACCACATACAAACGATCAAAAATATAAATACGAAACATCCATGCATATGCAAAACAGCAATTTTGTAGGCATGTTTTTATAAAAATTAAAACAAATATTCAAAAACTTCACAAACTCTGATGAAGCCTAGCGCATGATTGTTATGTACAAAGTAAACAACAATATTAAACAACAAAAACACTCACCTTCTAGCTTCAATGAAATACAGCTGAGTCCCAAGATCTTCCACTTCTCCCACCATACTTGGCTAAGTTGGCTTCGCATGAAAACTTCCGGCAAGGGGCAAACTTCGCCGTCGCTGGCGCAACAGCTTTGGACCCTGCATTTTTCCAAGAAATAGGCGTCAGCCTCTGGACAAATTACTCCCTAAGCACCCAACTCCGGTGGTTCGACGAGCTGAAACCTTCTCTTTGCAAAACTCCCCAAGGTGAGCTTTTGATCACTCTCCCAAAGCCAAAATCCTCAATTTCCAAACCCAACTGATGCTCTTCGCCTATTCACAGAATGCAGCGAATACTTTAAGAAATCACTCTTCCTTGTCGGAGAAATAGGTGGAAACGACTACAATTTCCCCCTTGTGGCGGGTAAGAGTTTAGCGGAGGTAACTTCCTTTGTGCCCAAAGTGGTGCAGACTATTGCGGAAGCCATTGAGGTAAATAATGGAATTTGAATTTCACAAATTTTTTATTCTTTGGGGCATATTGTCGAACATGTTGTGGGCCTTGTGCAGAGGTTGATAGAAAGAGGGGCTGTGAACCTGTTGGTGCCGGGGAACTTGCCAATAGGGTGCTCGACGCTGTACCTTACGCTGTTTGCCACATTTGACAAGGAGGATTATGATGACCGGAATTGGTGTTTGAAAAAGCTGAACAACTTTGCAAGGTATCACAATGAACTTCTGAAATCGGCCATTGAGCAGCTGAGGAGAAAGCACCCGGAAGCAAGAATCATATATGCGGATTACTACGGCGCGATTCTACGATTTGCACATTCACCACGCCATTTTGGTGAGCTATCTCTGATTTCAGAGTAAAATAATTTGATCACTTTTGACCATAATATCTTAATTTTTTACCCATCATTAATCTCATTTTGTCTAAATATCAATTCAAACCATATCATTTATGAATAAATGAAATTTCTCCAATGTTTTATTACTGTATTCATATGCTTTGCACGAATTTTAATGATAAAAAATATTTTTTTTATGAAGGTTTTTATAGTGGGACCCAAGAAGCATGTTGTGGAAGTGGGGGCCTATATAATTTCAACCTAACGGCTCCTTGTGGAAGTGTAGGATCCCATCTATGCGAAGACCCCTCAACTTACCTTAGTTGGGATGGCATTCACCTCACTGAAGCTGCCTATCACCAAATTGCTAATGGCTTGTTGGATGGCTTCTTCACTGATCTCCCTCTTTTCATCTGATTATCATTTAGGCTTCGTTTGAGGCGGCTTTCTTACTACTTTGTAAAGAAGCTTTTTAGTATAAAAATTTTAACTTTTGTACTGAAAAGTCGAAGCAGTAAGAAAGCCGTCACAAACGAAGCCTTAAATGCCTTAGTTTAATGCTTCATTTGGGACAACTTTTTTATTTCTTTCTAAACCAACTTTAAGAAATAGTAAGAAAATTGTCCCAAAAGAAGCCTAAGTATGTCTCTCAGTATTATATATCCTTTGGTGATAATAAGGAGATATATTTTACTCTTTATTTTCTATATATGGGAAAATAATGGTCACATTTCATTTTAATTTCTTTTCAATAAGTTCAAAATTTTTGAACATTGTATGAGTAGCAATCATGTATTTAATTATTTTGCTTAATAAAAACATCATCAAAAGGGGGGCTCATTTTCTATGTATTTTTTTATGAAAATTTTGATATTCTTTCATATAAGATTTGTTTGTTTCAATAGTTGTATAAGTATTGATAAAATTTTGAGAGCTTGTAACATAAATGAATATATTTGAAAATTGATTGGCTTATTTATTTATTTATATTTGCGGATATTTTTATTTGTGAAATAAATAAATTTTCAAGAACTTGAGGAAGAAAGCTTTTTAAATTATTTTTAATAATTTATTTTATATTATTATATAAATATTATTATATTTTATGCATTAAATACTATTTATACTATTAGAAATACAAATATGATGCAAATATTGAGCAAGTGATAGTTAAGCTTGATTATTGCTTATAGGATGATCCACAACTCATGGTTTTATAAATTTGCATGATTTATTTAGTCTCTCTTAAGTAATCCAACCCAACAATAATTCTTTCTAGTGCTAAGAAGAGTTACCTTTGAATGTTAAGTCTTCTTTTAGGACAGTTTTCTTCCTGCTTTCTATAATAGCTTTTTAGTATAAAATTTTATTGAAATAGAAATTTTTATGCTAAAAAATTGCTTTCGAAAATAATAGACCGCTCGACGCGCGACCCTGCCCGCGCTCGCCCAGCCCGATCAGTTTTCCCGGGTCGGGTCGTGTCAACCCGGCAACCCGCCGGGTCGGATCCGGGTTCATATTTTCGACCCGTTTACCAACCGGGTCGGGTTAGGATCGACCCGTTTGAACCCGGGTCAATTCCGGGTCCCACCCGAACCCGACCCGTGACCCGAAATTGACACCCCTACAAGGACGGATCTACAGTGAAGGCACGGCCCCCATTTTTGTTGCTAACAACGCATGCTCTCTCTCTCTATCTCTCTTCATTATCTCTCCTCCCCCTCTCTCTCTTATTTATCTCTCCCCAACCTATCCTCTCTCTCTCTTTCCTACACTATTTATTTGATTTTTTTTGGAGGGAATTGATAATCATTTTTTTAATAAATCTAAGTAAATTAATTAGTTTAATTATATTAACTTTATTAATTATTTATAATTTTCATTGTTTAATTAAAAGAAAAACTAAAATTTTCTATTAAGATTTAAATGAAGCACAACCGACAAAGAGAAGAAAAAAACTAATAGTAAGAGGAGAAGATTAACACGCAAAGCATGCATAGTTGAATAACGAATGTTTCAAATAAAGTACTTAATCAAATAGAAGAAAATGAAAAACAAAAAGATATTTAATTAATATAACAATTTGACAGATGAAAGATAAAATAACCAGCAAAAATAAAAATAATACACTAATTCGAGGACTTGATAGATTAACGCACTAATTAGTAATTATAATATTATAATAATTACGAAACTAAACTCGCTTAATTAATTTAGTTTATAAAGGTTTTAAAATTACTATCAGAATCCTCATTTCAATTAAAAAAAATGAAATTTTCTATTAATATTTAAATGAAGCACAACCAAATGAAGAAAACTAACAGTAGGAGGAGAATGTTTACACGCAAAGATCGTACAGTTGAATAACGAATGTACCAAATAAAGTTGTTGGGTCCAGAAGTATTCACGGAGGTAGAGAAGTATAATATTTACGTCTTAATTTTGTATGAAAATTCAGCACACATACATATAAAGAGAGTGGGTAAAGCATTTTTGAGATACCAAGATTTTTATATGGAAAACTCCTGAAAAAGGGGAAAACACACGGGGGCTAGCCCAGTTTGAATGAATCTACTATTATTTGCAGTTGATTACAATTGAGACCCTTGCTTCTTGCTTGGGTCCCCTCTCAAGAGAAATGAGGGGCTATTTATAATTTTTTGAAGTGGCCTGACCTGTAAATAGGAGGATCAAGGGCAAAGGACGGCCGATATTGAATTTCTTGATTGTGGATCGTTCATCAGACATTTGAATGTATTAGTGGTGTCGGAATTCGACGATCTTGGGCTCGTTGGATTTGACACGTCGAGCCGCTCGATTCGACTATAAGCACGTCATGTTTGAAAACCGTTTGGTAATCCTATTTGTGGTTTGAACCTTCCAACATTACTTCGGGTCCCTGATTTGGACTCATTTGGACTCGGATTAAGTTGAATTTGGTGTCGTTGGCTTCGTATTTCCGAGAAGATCAGTTCGACTATAAGTTTGCTGAAATCGGAGTTCAGGTGATCCCAGAATTAAATTTTGAAGTTTTTAACTTGATTTTTGCCTCCAGATTTGAGTCTGATCAAGATAATTTTTTGATGACATATCAAAAGTACTTAATCAAATAAAAGAAAATAAATATCCAAAAGATCTTTAAATATTGCGACTGATTGAGATGGCCAAGCAAACTCTGGCCATTAAGATAATCAATTTTACAGATGAAAAGATGGAAGGTCACGATTTAAAAGTGAAATACATGTGGATGACTGCAAGAATTACAAGTGTGAGAATATCAAAAATTTTGAGAGATAAAAGGTCATGATTTAAAAGCTAAAGACACGTGGATGGTTGAGATTTATTGTAAGAAGAATCACAATTAAGCCCCATTTTAATATTTATTGATTGATGATGAATTCTCATGCAATAAACGTACCTTTTTTTTATTTAATAGGAGGAGAGTCTTAAATGAATAGTAATATTTAATTTGAGAAGAAGCACAAGAAATTTAATTTTTAAAGGCTAAGATTTAATTTGAACAATTAAAATGAATGATCAAGATTTGATATGAGTGGAGACTAAAGTTACTTTTAAAATAATAGTGAGAATATAAATTTTGGAGAGGATCTGAAGCTTAATTCATTTGTACCATGAAAGAAAGTAGTTATGTACAAAATTATGTTAGTTGAATGACATAATTTTGTGAAGAAAAAAAATTCATCAACTTATAACTGAGATATAATGTACCTTAGTTTCCTTCTCCTTTTCTCATTCATCGAGTTTTTTCACTCTTCACCACAAAAATTTACCTCCATTTTTAGCTTCGATAACTCCTTGGCTGAAACAGGAAACTTTCTCATCTCAGGTGTTATTGCCTTCCCCTATGTTGGTCATCTCCTTATGGCATATTGACTTCATTTATGTATGAGGTCACTAGGACCTACCTGAGTTTCTTTCTAGTGACCTGATGATTGGGAGGTGTCCACTTCTCAGTCAGCCATATAGGTCCAAGTCTAATCAAATCGAGTTATATCCTTCAATCAAAATTTAGTCCAGCCTTTCAACCAGCTTCCAATTAACTTTCAAATCATATCCAATTAATCTCAATCATTCATTTGATTTTCATTGATGTGAATATTTCAAACTCAACCAGTCAACACCAAAATGCAATCTAAATCTAACATTCCAAACCAAATCCCAGAGTTAAGTGCTTTTGTCCTAAAACCATTTATAGGTGAATTTTCTATCACCTGGAAACCCGATAAAATGACCACTAATTTGGGGTTTTTGATTGCATCTTGCTTAAATATGTCTTTAGAATCAAATCATCAAATTTGAACCCATTCTTAAGTCCCTAGCCCTAAAAACTGGAATGATTTCCAAAGGTTTCAAAACCTTTAAATATTTACAACATACGATATTAGACTTGTCATTTAGTGGAATTTGACATTGGGATCCTTTCCAAACCTTCTAACCACACCAATGAAATTTTTTATGACTTGTTGATCAATAACCTACACTTTCCAAGACCCTTTTTAACCTATGTTTGACCATGGGTCAAAGTGACCAAAATGCTCTTTAAAGAATTTTGATCTTTTCCCCAAAATTCAACACGGCCTTTATGTACCAATCTTTAATACCTACCCGAATAGATCCTAAACATCATTAGGAACACATTAGACCCAAACTCATACTTGGGTTTGACCTGGTTGACCAAGTCAACCATGTTTGACCAAGTCAACTATGGTTGACCAAAGTTGCCTATAAGGGTTTAAACACCTATTTCAAACCAAATGGCCTCCCCTTGAGTTAAAACCACCTCCATTGACTTCATGTGATCAATTTGAACTCAATGAACCCAACCCTTGGGGTCAACTTGGTTGAAAAAGTTAATTTAGTTTGACCAAACTTCCCATTCACTTCTACTCATTTAAATAATTTGACCAAGGCTTCCCCAAGCACATTCAAACCCCTAGGACTACCCATTAGGCCCTTAGGGATAACACTTGGGAGGATCCAAGCCTTGGGTCTACTTGGGTTAGCTACTTGGCTTGACCCAAGTGTCTAAAGAGAGATCTCCCTTCAGCCAAATTCCAATCCTACCCAATTAGATCAAACCAATGGTGGCATTGGGACCCCCCTCGCCCAATACACCTTCCCTAATTGACCCAACCCTTGGGTCAACTTGGGTTAGGAATAAGGCTAACCCAAAGTAGCCAAAGCCACCTGGGGTTGAGTCGTTTCTTTACCTAAGTTTAATTAAACCCAACCAACACCTCCATTGGGTAGCCCTAGGTCCAACACACATACCCTAGTCAGCCCAGCCCTTGGGCCGACTTGGGTCAACCTTTAGGGTTGCCCATAGTGGACAAAACCACCTTGACCAAAGTAATTTCCCACCTCATAGCAATTCATGCCCA